TATATGTATTTATAAATTATAAATTGAAAAAACACAAATGTGTGTGGTTTTATTTACCCTGTGAAAGCTTCTCCTATTTCGGCGACTTTAGAGGGATGACAGACAATGGTGGTTTTGCATTTTTTCGGATCGAACAACGGCGTGACGTACAAAGCTGCCACGCGAATCATGTCGTCCATAGTAACGGCGGAAAGACGCCGTATCATCTGATGATTATAATCACGCGGTACGTTTCTAAAATAAGACAGCAACGATCTGAACGTCACGTCCCTTATGGTTTCCTCATTTGCAATAAAGCCGAAGATGATGGACGATTTTGCTGATTCAAAAAGCAGTTTGCTCCATTTTGTTTCGTCGGCAACATGCGTCTCCTGCGAGAGACAGAAAGCTTAATGATGTAGGTGAATTGTTTTTTTTTTTTTTTTGAAAAATTACTTATGTGTCAACAACTCAATCGACTTTACCACTATCGATTTTGTCTCTTTGTACGCGGCTACTACATTAGTAGCTCTATAGAAAGTCAGACATAACAGTCCTTCGTTCGGTACCAGAGAAAGTTCAAATCCATACGAAAATCCTTGACCTCGAATTAATCTCCACATAGGTCCCTGAAAATCCACGCATTGTAACAAGGACGGCGATCACACTTTGCAGTTTTACTTAAACAATAATCGTGTGCTTACTTCCGTTTGTGTAAAATATTGCAGACAGACATACAAAGCTGGCAAATCGGGATCTTGATAATTGGTTATGCACGGACACATTTGATACATGAACGAAGAATCTTCGCATCCCAATCCTGTAACACACCCACCTATGGTAATACTATCCGCAGGATTCATCAGTGTCCAGTCAGCGGTAACATTAAGTCTGAAATGTGTATTATTCGTAAAGTTACTATCATTACACACATAATTCGTATTTTCAAAACTAAGATTCATTCGTTCGCTACAACTTTTGAAGCTTCTGATAAACATTCATCAAAACTGTTTTTAAGTGTTTAAAAAAATTGAATAATCACTTTGTCTTTTCTGAAGTCGTTAAATCAGAAAAATATGTATTCCATGGAGCATAGACATCTGGAACCTGCATCGTTAACTTATCGACATTGGCGGCTATGTGCAAAACTATATTCTTCGATGAGGTCAACGTCTTCCTGACAGATTCGATTTCCGCTATGACTTCCTTCTGCCCCGCATCGGTATTTAGACGTTCTATGACGTCATTGAGAAACTTCTGCTGTCGCAACATGCTAGATGTGAACTGATTGCTGTCTGCCAACATATTCAAAGAAAGAGTTTACGCTATTGTCTTCACAGTATTTCGTACTTGCAATTTGAACAAAATCTCAACGGATATATTTTACCTTTTTTATATAACAATCCTCTCATTAATTCATATACAATTCTATATCCATATCTCTTTAATTGAGCAACATCGTTCACCATTTTTGCTGCTACAATTTTTAATCTCTCAGCCGTTAGTTCGGTGTCGTATAAAAGCTGCGCAATCCACTGTACACTTCTTTCATACTTCTCTAATTCAACCTACAAAAAAAAAGAGTGTGTGAAAGAGTTAGAATTTAAATTGTAATTTATTTATAAAGTTACCTTCTTCCGGAAGAAAATGGCAATTATAACGATTTATACATTACTTCAAACATCAAGTTCACACTGTGACTGTAGACTCCACTGTAGAATCTCTTGCCACAAAGACCAATGTTAGCATAAATTGCTTTAATATCAGCCTCGAGTAAAGCTACCACTTCTTCGTGAGGAATCAGATCGTCACCTTTTCTTATCGGAGATTCTGTAATAACTTCCAGCAATAGCGGAATATACTTTATATATTCTCTACTGATAGAAGAAGTGTCCATAATAATTCTCAGCTGTATTTGAAAAATAAGAATATTAATTAATATACATATATATGACGTAATAAAGAATACAAATTAATACTCACATAAACGAAGTTCGTATTGACATGATCTAAATAAGTAAAAAATGGCAACTTTGTAACATCTAATCTAGGATGTTGTTCAAGAGTTTCCGTAGTGTAGCTCTTAATATGATGAAAAGTAATGGAACTTGCGCTAGGTATAGGCACATTTGCTAGTAATTCGTCAGGTACAGGTTTCTTCAAAACACAACAAAAAATATTAAGAACATTAAGTAAATTGTTATGTTGCAAAAACATATATTATCAAATTTTTTATATCATTTAAATATATATATGTACTTCATTTTCCTTGATAGCTTGCTGAAGTTCTAACTCTTTCTGCTCTAAACCACTTGGGCCCAACTTTGCGATTTGTTCGGCTATTCGTTCTTTCTCTTCTTGCGCCAACGTGCGTTGTTTTTCTACACTAGGTATGCCGTTCACAACAACCATCGGTGCGTTAACAAAATAATTCTTAAGAAGATTTAACCAATATGTCTCGGATTCATTTTCTAATTTTTTGAGATCGCGTAAATTATTTAGTCTTTGATCCAACTGTATGACAAAAAGAAAATCATATCAATTATATATTTAATTAAAAATATTAAGTAAAATTCAATGAGTAAGATTGCGTAACATACATCATCATTTGTATTTCCATACAATATATGTCCACTGACGCTGTCTGTGATTAAAGAACATGGATTGTTTTCCAAGAGACTTAGTATCTCAACGCTGTATCGGTGTATCAGAGTCTTCATCCTTTTCATGTCTATGCCATTGTCAACGCAACATAAATCGCTAAGTACTTTCACCAGGGATCCTTTAACCAGATGGATTTTACCCACTGGTACATTCTCGAAAATGACATACAAGATCGAAACAGAGAATTCTAACAAACTCCAACACACATTGCTGGCATAAGGATCGATTTTCTCAACAAATTCTTTTTGCAACGGACTAATAGATGTATCAGTGAGATATTTCAAGAGTAATATACAACCAAGCAAGTCGTACACTTGATTAACTGCTGATGGTCCTCGCCAAGCAACGCGTACTATACCATTGTCTTCGTCATCACATGGGTAACAAACATCTAAATCTACGCTCTGTGTGAGCGGTTCAATCGGAGTTTGCCAAGGTCTTTTAAATGTATCTTTCTTCCCCTAAAATTAATACGGTTTAGAAATACATTCCAAAATAATATCAAAATTCTTGAACACATTAATATTCTAATAAAAAAAAAAAAAAAAAAAGAGCACAGAAAGACACGTAATATCTTTAGCACTGTGTACCTGCAACATTATTTTCTGTTCTAAAGGAATTAATGCTTGGAAAACTTCAACGTGTTTTATTTGACCTGTTATTAATACAGTCAAGTTTTCTGGCTTATAAAACTCCTTGTGATACTGTTTGACTTTTTCATTAGTGGTGCTTTCGCGCAAGTTTTTCAATACACCTATGCGTACAAATATAATGCTTAATGTACATTTACAATTGAAAATACACAAAATATACAGACAGATAATTTCTATACGTGCATCTTTTTACCTCCAACATCTGCTTTATATCCACATCTTCCAGGATAACATTCTTTCAACACTTCTCTATTTACCATGTCTTCTCCTGTATTTTCTGTACCCTGTATTTCACAATAAATTACACCAGCATCTTCACCTTTACCAGTAATATGATGTACCTCTGTAAGAAATGCTGTATCCTATCAAAAAATATATAGAAATGTTAAAGATCTTTATATGTTATATAATAAACTATTATGCTAATTGCATAGTGTTGTTTCAAATGTATAAAAAAAAAAGGAGTAAAAATCTTTACCTGTAGAGTAGGGTAAAGTATGTGTTCCAGATATATTGGCATCAGAGAAAGAAATCCTTCACTACCTGCTGTTTTCATAGTATAACAAGTGTGATCGGGATAAGTGCTAGCATTGGTGCCAGATGCCAGGCATCTATTAGCCCAGAGATCTAAAATGCCTTTGTAGGGATATTCCTGACTGCCCATGAAAATAAGATGCTCCAGTGTATGAGGAAGGCCATCATCATCAAATGCTTCAGTTGCTGATAAGAGTAATACATACTCAACAATTAATAAAAATATATTTAAAAATAAATAAACTTAAGGCATTGACAATGGCTGTTTGAAGCAAAACACTGATGATGATGTGTATGTAATAGTGTGTTAAAGTAACACACTATTATATACACATCATCATCAATGTTTTGCTTCAAACATCCATTGTCAATGCCTTAAGTTTATTTATTTTTTAAAAACTCTGAAGCTGACTACACTCATTTATCATTTAAAAATATATTGTTAAGAGATATGTGCAATATTTTAAATGTTTTTTTTTTCTATCTCTTGAAAGAAAATATAAGCTTCAAAGATATAAATGTTTAAAAAAACTAATTTTTACTAGAAACGCATGAGCGATTTTTTAATGGGTTTGGGAGACCCAAGTCTGTCTGTGTAAAGAGTTTAACATTATAATTCAAGTCAAACACTCTTTTCTATAATTAAACATAAATAGAATAATGCAGCCGAAACTCGAATTGTAATGTTAACACATATCAATAAATAGTTAAAATATTTTATTTAAAAAGCTCTCTCTCTCTCTACTCTCTCTCTATATATGAAATATATTAATATTTTATTTTAAGCATGTAATAGAGTGCAAAATCGTTTGCAAACTAAACGTTTAAGATACTTTACTTTTTAAATCAATATATTTCCAACAATATACAACACAAAAATATACATATATATATATTACCAAGAAAGAAGTAACCATTGACAACTGGTCCTTCCACTTCTGCAATACAAACAGTCATTCCGGTATTTGCGGATCTGTACATATGGAACGGAATCGTATCGTTGCATTTCAACGAGCATATCTGCTCGAATCCGTTCATATCTCCTCTTGGAGAACTGTCCACCGGCGGCATACCGAATCAGGACACTATTTAATCACGGACAGATTGATATCAAACTATTGAATTATATCGAATAGAACGCATACAACACAAAAATCGAAGCAAAACCGAGTTCTGATATATTCATTGCCAGTACGGAATACTGTATGGTGGTACTTATACACCATAGTATCCGACGGTCACTGCCAGTACTAAAAATCTATATTTCACGTCACATGTGCTATAAATTTCCAGTACTAACATTAGCAGTAAATATCGGAACGCAGCCGAAGTATGTAAAATAATTATCTTCAACACCGCGCGGTATCAAAAACCATATCAACGATTATGTCAAAATATTCTAGCGATTCAGATTCAGATCACAGTAGCAGATATCGTAGGAGACGAAATCGAAAATCGAGGTAATTGATTGTCTATTTTTGTATTATCTTTATATTGTATGTATCTCTCTTAAAATTAAAACTAACACTAAACGTATTCAATTTATCTTGTAAAAGGTTATGTTTATATAATTTTTTAATTGCCATCTTCTCTTAGATCTAGTAGCTCGGATACCAGCGAATCCTCACCGCATCGAAGGCGATCAACGAAACATTCAAAAGCAAAACGTAGACATCGTTCACATTCCAGAAGCAGAGGAAGAGATCGGAATCCGAAGAGTCGTAAAGGATTCAGGAGCAGTCATTCCAGAGATCGAGACAAAAGACGTTACCATTCCAGCACAGGCAGATCAAACTCTTCAGATCGCATAAGAAAAAAAGGCAGATCCACTTCCAGGGAGAAGTCACAAAGTCCTCCCGGCAGTTCACAGTCAAATCAACCAAAACTTAATATAGAGAAAAGCCAAATTGCGGTGACAAAAGGTAGAATTATATGGGTGATTCTCAAACAACACGCATATTTGTGTCCCTTCAAAATTAACTTTTTTGTATAATACAATTTTATTTTCTAACCGGCTCTATTAAAACGAGAATATTCTTTGTACGCTATTTAACTATAAGAGGCTTTAAAAAATCATTACATAGGTAGCTTTATACAAGTTTAGCATTAAATTGTAATCTCCGTAGATGTTCTCATGCGAGAACTGCAGATATTTCCGTTTTTCTTTTTTAATTATTCATTAAAATCATCATTAAATCTGTGCAGGTCATATATTTACGTACGTAATATTACTTATTTTAGTGTACGTAAAATTATGACCTGCACAGATTTAATAATGATTTTAATGAATAATTAAAAAAGAAACGGAAATATCTGCAGTTCTCGCATGGGGACATTCACGGAGATTACAATTTAATGCTAAACTTGTATAAAACTACTTATGTAATGATTTTTTAAAGCCTCTTATAGTTAAATAGTGTACAAAAGAATATTCTCGTTTTAATAGAGCCGGTTAGAAAATAAAATTGTATTATACAACAAAGTTATTTTGAAGGGACACAAATATGCATGTTGTCTGAGAATCACCCATATCGGTTTTAATATGTTAAGAAACTAGAATTTATTGATCAGAAATATTGATGAATATTGTTTGTCAGATGATTTTCCAATTGAACCACGTTTCAAAGAAGGAGTGCTAGAGGAAATAAATGCTGAGGGTTTCACTCCTAAACAGTTTATTTCATCCGCCAGTAAAGAGAACAAATTTAAGAATATCGTTATAGATATTAACTCGGACACTATACAAATCCCATCAGTACCTACTGTTTCTAGAAGTCCAGAAAGCATATTTCACACATCAGTAAGTTATTCCTTTTTTTTTTTTTTTTTGCATTCTTCTAATGTACTTTTCTTTTGTACAGAAATAATATTTCATGTTCAATTTTAGATTAGGATGGATCAAGAAGCAAGATTTGATAGGTGGGTGAAAAAACTCTACACTCTTAGACAAAAAGCTATAGCTGACTTGATGCATCCAAGTGTTATTTAATTCTTTTGTAAATATTAGCATATTAATTTACAAAAAAAACAACTTTTTTAAATAAGCTATGAACATATTTGTTCCTAGTGCTATAACTATTAGCATATTTATAACGGAGATTATAAATAAATTCGCATTAAACATAACTTTATATTAAGTATGTACACAGAAAATAAAATAAAAACAGTAAACTTAATTTATAAAAAGATATCTGATAAGATATTTGATTGTAAAAAGATATATGTATCAATACATGTTTTATTTAAATACATTCTATATAGTGCGTTCATAGTATGACCACGATATGAGCATATCGCTTTTACTATAAATAATTTAAAACCGATTTGTTTTACACAAAATTTCAGCTGTAAAAGACTTTGGTTCGACAAGTATGTAAAAATATCTGATTGAATTACATTGATATCGATTATTTGTGTGTGTACAATTTATTTTCTGTCGAAATGTTTACAATTAAACTTACGTCTACAATTTCACAAATTTGACGTCTGATTCTATAAAAATAAATGAGACAGCGCTTCTTCTCTAAATGCAATAATGCGATAGTGGGCCGTGGAAACTTAATATATGTATATAATCGCAAAACTGGAAAAAGGAATGGTGCAGTTTTTATGAATTAAATTTTAAATGCGTACCTTGCCGATGGAATTACACACATCGATTAAACTGAATATTAACGAAACATGTCGAAATTTTATTCTTGTATTTAAAAGTGACGGATTTAATTACTATTATGAATGTTACATATTTGCTACACCAGTGATTAATCTACACACCTACAGACACTTAAAACGCAAGACTTATCTGCTACATTGATTCATAACACACACGTACATATGTATGTGTGTTGTAATATTGGAATTATTACTAATAAAAGGGATTATTCAAGCACTCGGTTTACATTAGTATTTATGTATGTTAATTGTATACGTATATGCATACATTTCTCCATAAAACCAGTTAAATTGTTCACACAAAAAAAAAAAAGAATTCCATCGGTTTTTACGTAAATATCGAAAACTTCGTCTTTACGCTAATCTACTCAGAAATAGAACACAATATTTTCATGTAATAATCGTAATTCTCTCTTCTTCACAAAATAAATATTTCTATACTTTATACGCAAAAAAAAAAAAAAAACTTATCCTGCAACAATGCGTCTTTAGTTTGCGCGTGCGCTATTTCACTTTTATTATTTTTACAGGCATAATAACAGGAATGTATATATAATATATATATATATATATATAAAGGATTCTTTGTTCTGACGTAGTAGTTAAATCTTTTATCATTTTTGTTTTTATTGGCTAAGTAGTCTCTTTTCGTTCTAAAGCATCTTTAATTAAAACAAAATTTTTAATGTGACACTATTTTATATCTATATAATCATGCAACATTTTCGGAGACTATTGTGAATACAGATTACTCAAATATTTGGATACATTCACAGACATTAAATACGTCGCACACACGTACACACGTACACACACACACTCAAACGCACGCGCGTACATATATATATATATATATCTAAAATATAAAAAAACTTTAAACACATTAAACAATTTTAAAATAAACATTTTACACATGTGTGCACTTTGACTAAATGATGATATATTTTAGTCGTTTACTTATATCAGTAATTTATTCTTATTTATTTCCATTTTGAGAAACTCTACAATTCCAAACTTGTCAGTTAAAAAAAATTTACTGTTTGAACTGCAAAAAAAAATTTATTTAAAATAGAAGATTGTTTCTATCATTAATTCTTGATAAACTACTTGAAAATCAAAAATGCACCTGAACACTTTTTTTTCTTGATACTTTTTATAACTTGTGTTAACTTTCATACTGTCACAACTTAATACTTTTATACAAATGTTTCTATAATTGCGGTAATAATTACAATCGCTTCATGTGTTATATACGTTGCAATTGTAAAAACAATTTAATTTCTTATCGAAATATTTTTGAAAGTTATTTTATTTCGATCTTATGTATTTTATCTCTCGAGGGCTGTCCAAGCACAGCCCATAGTGCGCGAACACAGTAAATTTTCTAATAAATTTATAACCACATATCTCTCTATAATTCATTGGTAACATATTCCGTGATAAACCGCGTGGTGACCTAATGACTTAATGCACTACCAGATTATTTAGGCATACCTGTAAATACAGTCAACAACAAGCAGCAATTCAGTCAAGAAACTTGGAAGAATCAGTATATATATATTTTTTTTTTCCCCCCCCTATGAGAACTCACGGATGTCGCTCCGTTTCATAATATAATTTATCTCAAACTCGTTATATTTTTTTAATATGCGATTTAGTCTCGCACAGTCGTTCACACTCACTATCTTTGTCTTGATATTATAAGTGCCTCTTTCATCGTCAAATACTAGCAAATCGTTTACAAATCGCTTATTTTGCATTTATCATTTTAAAAGATTTTTAAATCTAATAGAAAATATAATGGAAGGACATAATGAAGATCTTGAAATACTAGAGCAAATTGTTTACAAATCGCGTATTTTGCATTTATCATTTTACAAGATTTTAAAGCTAATAGAAAATATAATGGAAAGACATAATGAAGATCTTGATAAAGAGGATATCTGAAACACAGCAAGTCGAAGAAATGTGAGGAAAAAACCATTAATATTATTGTATTACAAATATTGTGACATGTGATTTTGAACATGAGACAACAGAGGAGAGAAAATTACGTACCTAAGCATACTCTGGACAGCGTACAATTTTTATACATTTATCTACTGTGTGATTAAAATATTCTAGGATAATTGAAAATTCCCGCCGGCGTAATTGATTTTATTTTTTAGTTAAAGAATCTTCCAGATTCACAATATCAACTTCCAGAATATTATTGCCGGCGAATTGCCCGAACACTCCGCTTGATGCACTGCGTTTCACAACTACAATATTTGAAAAGGAAAAAAAAACAAACAAACATTATTATATTAAAATACGCTAATGCGTCATATAAGAAAATTTGGTTCAAAATAACATTTGAACAAACTGACCAGAAGAAGAACCATTGCAATACACTTTTGTTAGCATGTAAGTAGGCATATCGTGACATTCCCGTGCTATATATCTTCCAAGAATCGACATATCAGTGATCGGTGGTGTGACTACTTTCATGGTTTCTCGTACAACCGCAGTATCTACTTCGTAGTAACCTGTTACGTAGAAAAACAAATATATTAAAATGTTGATAAAAAATAATTTACCAAACTTGCAATGAAGTTTACTTCCAATCGAATTTTTACAAACTCACCGTTATTCATCTTTTTAAGAAGATCGTACAAATTGCGAGGTGGCAATACGCGCTCACGATTCAATGGCATAACAAAGCAACACTGTCCGTCGATATCTATGATACCTGTTTTGTTCTGCAAGTAAATGTGACATTACAGATATCATTTCTACGCCGAAAGATAAAATGAAGGATTGTTTTCCACGTATCGCGGAGTTTGACTCTTTCGCAGAAATTGACGATTCGACTCACAATGTTGAAGTCATGTATAAAGCGTCCCTGACGTCCGCCGCGGAAATCAGGCACATCGATCTTCTCGTAATGCTCATTCTCGAGATCAATCTCCAATCTTTCCTTGAAGAAATTATTGATCTCCTGATTTAACTCCTCACCCATATCCAGCGCCACCGCCGGCTCCGGAGTTTCCATACTTTTGAAGAAATCAGAATTAGCCATTACACCTCCTACTCCACTAACAGGAAATGGTTTGTTTATGATGCTATCATACGCAATTCTAAGCCAGCCAGAACGGAATCTCTGCATCTGGGTTTTGCCATACTGTTTGTAGATGTAAAGCCCACCAATCACGCCGATGCTCAGTATTGTGATTGCTAGAGAAAAGAGCAAGAATGTGGCTTTATAGGGAACACGGCGAATCCTTATTTCCTTAGAAGCGTAAAAGTAGGTGTCTCTTGACTCTGGGGCCTCGGAACGTCCCTCCTCCACATCTCCCTTTGACACCTCCTGTTAAAACACATTAGGCTAATGACTACTTTGTATAAGTTCCTGTTCCGCGGTTGCAAAAATTAAATCTTTTGAATTTAAATCTCCATTGTACAAAAAAACAATTAATCAATCAAGATCCTTTTTTTATTTTGATATTAAATAGTCAGACCATCTGTTCTATCTATTCTTAATGCATTTTTTTCTGTCATCTTTCATATAGCTAAAGAACACTTTAAACTAAACATTTCGCAATAACTCTTGAGTATGTTTATGAAGAGTATTGTGTACTTGTTATTGACGTGCAAAAAATATTCTTTCCATCTGTCATAACAGCTGTCTTCTGTCACAACAGGAATTTATGTAACTTTGCTATATGATCAAAGTACGCTCGTGTGTGTGTGTGCGTGTGTGCGAGCGCGCGCGCGCGCGCGCGTGTGTAACATGCCCCTATTATCAAACGCAGGACGATAGAACACCGCTGATAAGACGTATTGATAATGATAAAGATACATGACACAACGTACATATATATAACATATACGTGTATACATATTGTGATATACATAAAGCAGTTTTCCGGCTCGCGATAAGACCGCAACCTTGGCTAAAAAAGTTGGGATAAAAATAGTTTTCTTTTTCCTGCGATTATTTCGCAGGTCGACGGTTGACGTGCGACTATAATATAATTTAAAAAAAACACACAAAAGCTGTGTGCACTGACCGTCGAGTTTTCCTCCACAAACAATGGCCGCTCCATTTTGTCGGACGCCTTCTTTTCGCTGAACGCTTTCGTGATGATCGTCATTTTCGCCGCTCTGCAGAATACGGATGACAATCAAAAAATCTTCCTCTTTCCGAAAGAACTCGAAAAAAAATCCTTAAATCCTTAAATCGCGCACTTGCTACGTGCGTTACTTAACGACGAGCGTTTTATCGCGAAGACAATCGCGCTGCGGATAGAGGAAGCGAGCGACAAACACAAAATTGATACAGCACGTCTCCCGATCAACTGCGTATGTATATATACAAATGTTAAATGCCGAGATTGATCGCTGACAACCGCGCCCTCACCGAGCGAACGAGAAGAAGAGGAACACGCATGCGTCGTTTGAACGTATCGTAGGCTGCGGCGGACAGGAAAGATTGCGGTTTATCAGTACAGTTATCAGCATTTTTGATATGCAAAAAATACGACGATTATAAAGAATTATGTATATATATAGTATTTTTATATAAAATAAAGAAGAAATTTCACTGGCAAAACTTTTAAAAAAAATATCAAAAAACAAATTATTTAAGTTATCTGAATTTTAAAAGCGTTTAGTTTTTATAGCTACGCTTATATTTTTTGTTAGTTTTTTTTATTTATTCTTTTTCACCAATATGTAACAATTAGCACAGCGATTAGATAAAAACACAAATTAGACAATAAATTGTAATCATTGAGACGATTAACTGGACATATTCCGTCACGTAAATTTTCTGCTCAATCCCAACAGATAGCCAACTGAGTGCAAGTTGTGTTGGCAACTTGCCACAAATATTACTCGTATCCCGGTAAAAAATTTTTCATATATACTTATATACAAATTAAAATAATTATATCTAATTATGCAAATTTATATGTGCCGAATATGTCCGTACAATTTTATACACGGAGAATTTCTTTTTTTGAGAGAATGGCTTCAGAGATATTCCATATTAAATTACAAAATAACTCTATTAGTATCATGTTAGATACAAAAAAATTATGTAAAACTATATTTTTACTATATTTTTAAAAAATTTTTGATATATAATCATATATACTTGTACACAAATTAAACTTATTATATCTAATTATGCAAATTTATATATATATATATATACCGAATATGTCCATACAATTTTATACATGGAAAATTTTTTACCGAGATGTTTTCAGCAATGTAACAAAAGGGTGTATCCTCTTTTCAGTATGTTCTTGCCAGCAACAGTGTTTTCGAAATATAATAACAGCAAGTTCTCAACAACTCATCGGGCAATAAAATTATATTATTTTTTTCAACTTATGAATAAATAATACTTATTGCTCATATATATTGCTCACATATTGCTGACTCACATGTCATAAACATTGGCTTACAACAATTGATTGATAATAAAACTCTGGATATTGATACCGAATTGACAAAAACATTTTCGTTGCGTTAAATAAAAACAACACAACAGCAATTGGCGAGCACAACTTAATCTATACAATGATTTGCTTTATATTGAGTTTTCACATTTGGCTATCTGGGATAGCATTGCCGATTCAAAAACTGATTATACACAATACGAAATATCGGTCTACGAAGCATCAAATGTATTTTGAATCCGCCATTTATGTATGTAATTCCATTGTTTATAAACAGTCATAAAGGTCATTGCACGTGAAAGAAAAAATTTAGTTGTAACTGTAAAAAAATCGGAAGAGCAATTCAACCAATTGGAGGACGGTATTAGCTTTTACATCAGTCAGAATGCTGGACTGTGATTGGTTGGTTTGCTTACAAAAGTTACGATCTCAACGATTACAACTAAACTTTTGTCACGTGCAATAGTTTACAGTGTGTCAGAGTACACGTGTGTCATTGTTTTGCGGGTCATTATTTAATTAATATTTATGCTTCTGAATCGACTGCGCGCTAACGCAGGTTGACGGTTTTGTACATACAGATATCATGGATACCGTCAAAGATGCCGAATCCGAGGATACGTTGAAAAATACCTCGGAAAAGTGCGTTGACAAGACAAATTCTGAGGAGGTTAGGCTCGGTCATCAGGAACTGGTAAAGTTGACGAAAACAGGTATAGCCGATCTTATTGAAAATGATCCACTGCTCTCCGGATTACCTGCTGATATCACGATAGAAGAGCTCAAGTCACAGATTGCGGTTGCACAGGGACAAGCTATAACATTATTTCTAAATCGTGGAGAACTTCCAAGACTTGCAGTAGTGGTAATATAAAATTTTCTATAATTTAAACATAGATCGCATTGTACGTTACTTATGCTTATTGCTTTTAGAGAAAGTAATATGTATTCTCTATATTGTTCAAGGTTCCCACCCACAATACAACAGTTCTCGATTTAAAGAAGTCTATAAAACGTCACGTGATCTTGTCTTTGAAAAGAGAAAATGTTAACAAGAAGATTAGTTGGAAACATATTTGGAAAAAGTATTGTCTTCACTTTGAAGATGTCAGACTTGACAAGGATAATAAAAACATCAGAGCTTATGGCATCACCAATAAAGCTGAATTACATTTTGTAAAGAGACGCAGAGAAAAAAATAAAAGCATGTCAACCAAGTACACACAATCTTAACAATGAGAAATTTCTTAAATTCCATACAGTATAAATTTTATTAATTTTTATTATAAATTTTCTATGCTACTTTTAATTCGTACTTGTTGTTTTTTATAGTTTACTCTCATTGACAAGTCTGTGATACTCTTGTTTTTTTCTTTTAACTTTTTATCAACACTATTTTATTTCACACGACAGTCCTGGTATACAATCTTCCAACATCATACAAGTTAATTCAAATGCAACGGATTTGCTGTAATTTGTTACAATTAATGTTTTCAAGGATGACATTCTGTAAAGAGATTCCAATCCTCTCTCCGTGATCTTTTCGCATCCAGATATGTCTAGGTATTCCAGCTCTGGAAATTCGGCTGAGATCTTATCCAAACCCCAGTCGTCAATGTTTTTACAGTTCTTTAGACTGAGCCATTTCAACTTCACGAGACCGCACAAATTACTCAGACCTTCGTAGTGTAGATCAAATCCGTTGACATCCACCGCCTCGACAATGTATCGCGAATCAAAAGTGCTGGGCAGATTGACATTGTCTTTCTCGTCCCGTTCCGTCCAATGACCATTACCTCTAAATCTCACTCGGCCACCACGTTTTATAAAAAAGTGAGCGGTGGCAAGATCAGCGCCCAATATCTCATGTCTCTCCGGTATAAATCTCTGATTTCGTTTGACAGACAGCTCTTTCTGATGCGCAAACCATCTCAGAATATTGCCGATTGAGAAGTCGGTCTGCTTAGGCGCGTCTGTGGGAAACCATAAAGCGTTTTTGGGTTTCTCAGGATCGTCGCCGATCCTGGACTCCTGTGCGGCTATCTCTTTCTCTTTCCATTCGTGCTGCCTCTTCTCGTGGTCCACGCCATACATGCGTGAAGTTTGACCGAATAAACCATCTGGAAAGTATAAACGCTCGACAATCACTTTATTTAATGCGAATACCGATCGCTTCGCGAGCATTTCAAGTCACGCTCGAAGAATTAGCTCTTCAAAATCAATGACCATTTCAAAAATAGCACGAACACTACTTGCTACAGCTGTGGTCAAACTTGTGCTACAAATACTTCTAAACGCTCTGGAGCGTCATTCTCTGGCTGCGTTCCGATTTCACTGCCAGTACTAAAAATCTATACTTTACGTCACATGTGCTATAGATTTCCTTAAAGGTGTCGCTATGTCCACAGCGTGCGGTTCTATTCTGTGCTATGTGCACGAGTTTAAATGTATTTAAATGCATAGCGCACCGACATGTCGCTCGTGGACTGGCTGCGTAGTTCCAATGTGTATCACCCGTGGACATGCGCTAGTTTACGGGGCGGAAAAGTGATTACACATTCTCTTATGGCCGCTCTCAGGCTTCTCTCTGATACTACCTACTCCCATTGTAAACGGCCCTTTAAGGGATCATACATGATCGTATATCATTTTTCATAAAAAAAAAACTCATTCTAATTTTGCAAGATAATTTATATTAAATATAATGTTAGAATAAGACAAAAGCGTGCGAGAATTGTACGTCTTACAATTGTAAATCAATCTAAATGCATAGAGGTGTTCTTGTACGTATGTAGATAAATCGTATATATATATATATATATATTGTCAGTTTTTTCTATATTTATTTTTCAGCATATAAACATATATTCTCTTTTCTAATTTGTACATAACATTTTTCAAGATCTCGGATTGCTTGTGATTGATAGCTACAATTACGTTCGTTTATAAAGAAACTTATATTCTTAGAGGAAGCAACAAGTAGAATATTGCACTCTTTTTTTTTTTTTTTGACAAATAATCATAAGAAAGATTCTAAAACCGAGAGATCTAAATCTCCGAGTTGAAATTATTTGTACATCATAACATCGGGAGATTGATACATGCACATGTACGCGTCGCAAAGAAGACGCTTTGCGTGTTCCGGTAACTGACGATCGTCTGTCAATTTAGACAAGTAACTTGCTCCCTCTTCGCTCAACCAGTAGGGAAAATCTGGACATGGCACCATTTCTGGTATATTGTATCCGTTTTGCTCTCCTAATAAATTATAAAAATTCACAAATAAATAAAGTCACACAATTGTGTATACTGTGTGTGATGTTGTTAATAAAAATAAAATAAACTGGCTAAGTACCTTTTCTGTCAGCCATAGAATCAAAGAAACACCATGGCGCTTCCGAACCCGGGCCACATTTTACGAATGAAACGTAATGAGAGGTTTCGATGCAGACCACCGCGGAAAGCTCCAAATACAAACGCGGGACGGGACAATGCTCCTGCAGAAATGCAAAGTCTACAGGCACCATTAACTTTTTCGGCTCGTGATTCGTTCTTCGTTCATGACGATGAACCTGAAAAAAATACGCAAAATAATTAAATCTCTCTCTCCGCGCGTTTTATTATACTTGTTTATCTCATATTATGGGGTCATGCTTTACAAACGTTTTCCAGACACAGTGAACAGAAAGCTATACTTTCGATACCAACGCCGCACTGCCCGTAACACTCTTTGCACTCGAATTCAGCCAATTTGCCGCAAACCGTACACTGTCTGGGTGCTGTAAAACGACACCTAAATGTTGTCGCAAGTTCAGACAAAGTACAATTATTTATTGCAATGCGCGCGATATGATAAAATAATACTTAACAGTCTTCGATAATATCCGTCACGTCTAGCAGCAACGTAGGCTGTATCTTCTGATACATTTTATACGATTTTCCGAATCGCGGCATTTGTATGATAAGACACGAAGGGACTTCTTTCAGTCGGACGTTACTTGTCAGAAAACTCTGTTCCAATAATTGCTGCACAGTCGGCGTTTTTAGATCGTCGTCTTTTTCAACAAACAACTGATAGTGATACGCATCCTGTCCGGAACTCAATTTGAGGAATGGTTCGGCATTCAAAATCTGAGCTACCAATGACGTTAAGAATTCTTCCGGATCTAGAGTTTATAAATATGTATTAAAAATTACCGTCACTCAACCGGTTTAAAATAAAATTTTATAATATATCGAAAATACATATATAAAGAAAAACCTTTTTCTTCACTAGTGAGACCGGATATTGACGATAATTTTTCGAGCAACGTACGAAGCTTCATTACACGATCTGCTCTGACAAACATGTTCTTTCTGAGTGGATTTACAATCTCCTCTCGCAAAACTCTCTGCACTTCTTCATATTCCGGACAATCTTTCTCATTCGGCGGTCTGAAAGAAGTCACACATTGAACATAGCAATTGTAAAAACTAAACACTATTACTTCTATTACATAAATGAAAAATTGAAATCTAGATTTTCTATTACAGACGAAAAATAATTCGCGCGATTATTTTAGATAAGTATCCGATTGTAAGTAACATATTACCGAAACAGGAGGTTGTCGAATACGCTGGTAAATGTAAACATACTGAAAAGAGTAGCGTCCAAGTAGCATGAATTATGATGACCTTGAATACCACGGTACTTCCCACATATGCTCTCCAAGTCTCCTTTGACGGAGATAGGCCGTACTATTCCCGTGATCACGGAACTCTCCATGTTACCAAAATTATCATTATTTGTGAGCGCAGACTGTTCATCGAGCTTCGTCTGTTTGCAAGAAAAAAAACAAAATTTCACGATTTTCACTCATCTCTCTTAGACATGTTATCTTTAACAAATTAACATCGCAAAGAATTTCGTTTGCACTTACGTCTTCGTAATGAGAACAGTGTTCGAGGTCCGTGAATATAGCTTTGTGAGGCCTGCAGTGAAAATATCTAATATTTTTGTACGTTCCATCGGTACCTAAAGGATGCCCATCATCCTATGAATAACACACACATATCGTTCGAGTTCGTTCTCTTGATATTTGTTTTGCGATTGTTTAAATCATTCCATTTCTCGCTTACCAATTCAACAGCTGCCATCAATTTACCAGGACTTATACCAGACGGTGTACCAATCCAACGAATAACTCCATAGTGAACATCAGAGTCCAATAGTACTTTTACATTAGAACCTACTATCAAATCGCTTTTATTTTCTACTCTGCTAAATTTTCTGACTTCACTATTTTCCGATACATTGCCTGTTAAAAGTTAATATATATATACATATATTTATATTAAAATATATATAAATACATTAGTTTACACACACATACACACACGCATACACACACGTACACGCACAAATTTGTACAATATTGTGCATACAAGACAAGATTTGCAGAAAAGACGGTGTTTAAAAATAGATTGTTATTATTTCATTATACATGGGAATAGAAATATTGTCGCATACAAATACAAAATGTTCGAACTGCGAGAGAGAGAGGCAAGATGTCAATTATATCTTACTGTAATCCAACAGACTTGCACCACGCGCGTCCTCCACATCACTATATATATTTGACTCTACATCACTACTCCACTTATGCTCCAATACAAAGATAGGAATGTTCTGCAAATCCGTTGCCATTTGTGAAGAAAAAAATACAATATTCAGACCGTCTTGTAACCTGCCGGCAGCTGGTCTAGGAAGTTAGACTAGGTTTGCGTCTATTTTTAAACATCTATTATTAACTCCTACCGCACGAAAGGAATTAATGCCCGGCACTGGCTAAATTTTGCTCTAGGGTGTTTTCGGAGAAAAATGTAGAGAAAGTAGGTATATTTATTGTATTTTCGATTATTTATAAAATTACCGCATGTAAATAGAGCGTGATCGATGTTTTTGGTATGGTTATTAACATCACTTTCAAGATTAGTCTTAATATGATGACGATCCTTTAACATATTGACAGAATCGTGATTGTTGTTCTTATTGTCATCAAACATAGTAAACTGCTCCACCAGAACAGCCGGTGTGCTATCAAATATAGACTTTTTCTTATCACTAGCATAATCAGTCCCTGTATTAGTCTTTAAAAATGGTGCTGAAATCAAATAAAAAAAAAAAAAATAACATAAATTATGTCACACGAAACCACCAGAAGTATGAAATTATAAACTTATTTAGATACTTTTTTCAATATGGCCAGAAGTTGTGTCCGCTTCTTTGTACGGACATATGTTGTTTACAGTTGCAAATAACACAGTAGAATTTCGATGTGTGGAAATGAAATATTCTTTGGCCAATTGTGATGTTTTGGATATCTCTTGGCTTTCCTGTAAGATATACAATCAATGACAATTGTATATAAATAATCAATCTTTAAACAACATAAACACCTTTTTTTGTTGATCTTAATAAATGTTCTATAAGCCAACAGCACAAAATAAAAGTTTTTTCTTTGAATAGTACCAATAGTTCCAGACCGATGTAATGCCCCAGTCCAAGCTGTGGTACAAGTCCAATGTATCTGACCACCGCCAGTTCTCTAGCCCGTTTGTTAGACGAATCAGGACAGTACCAGACTTTGTCGTTCACAGATATATTTCTCAGTCGTTCGCAAAGACTCTTATCGTTCGCCAGTCGGACTCTTTCCTGAGGCGACTGAACGGCAAGAAGGTAATGCCAGATCTTTTGCGATACCTGAATCAAATCGTATTTGTGGCAACGCCATTCGGTGCCGTACCAGGACTTGGAACCGCCTATGTCCGTCACGCGTACTCTCAGCACGCTGTCCTTCGAGTCGTCTAGCGCTTCCACAAGCATTCCCAGACGCAGATCGTTAACGTTAACGTCGCAAGTGCCGAATAACCGTACCAATACCGTGTCCTGCTTGGCAACATAATACTGCAGTGCTCGGCGTTCTTTGTTATTGTCCTCCATGTCCAGGATATATATATCAAATAATCATCGTCACGCGCGCAAAGGCGAATCGCAGGCTTTGTGCGTTAACGACAACTCTGTCAACTTTAAATGTTTACTTCCTGACTTTTTAACAAACGGCTTTCTACACACATAAGTAATAATACATATATATTCCTCAACGTTTAATGATTTCTACGTTCTCTTGCATTTTTTTTTGTCCATTCTTTTCTCAGAAATACTGGTCTGTTACATATTTTCATAAAATGTCGAGTCTGATGAAAAATTATTTTACTTGTCGCGTATGTCACTCTCTCCTACATGTTTCTACATGTGCGGGGCAAAGATAAATTTGATCCACAAACGAGAAGATACCATCTGTCAATTAGCCGTAGAGAGTTTCTTTTTTGTACGTTTGCACCGCTTGTCAATTGACCTGGACAATTTCTCTTCGTCATGTTTACGCGCACCCGAACCAACCCCGTCATTGCTGCGTTCAGCAAAACAAGTTGCTTTGTAAGACGGTCGGACGTGATTGGCTCTTACTTTTGGAACCGATCAATCAACGTCTAGTGTTGACAAGACGATAACTCGGCAATTGGTCCGCCAAACGCGGCTATTGGTTGCGATTTGTGTGCGTATGGACATTTAAACTTAATATTTGATCAACTTTGTTCAGCTGATCCATGAAAATATGTTAAAAGGAACGAGCTGGATTTTTTAGACACGTCCCGCGCGTGCACGCAACGTCTCGCGAGCGTTCTGCGTTCGAAAACAATTTATTCATACGCCGTACGTTGTAATCACACGAAGTTGTAATATGTCCATTGGGAACAGACGCGAGAAACTTCGGTCGCCGCTGAGTTTCTGGAATTTTACGCCGATTGGAACCAACACTTGAGCAACAAATAAAAGACATTTGTGTAAAAACTACTATAACAAAGTTTAAATTTGAAAAAATTTCAAGAAGATAAAACCCGAAATTTTTTGAAAGAAGAGAAACACTATTTTGTCAGTTTTGTACAAAAATACCCATTTAAGAGTCATGGATTGTCTATAAATGTATGAACAACTCTGGTTTGATATTAAAGGTTTTGGAGCAATAGAAAAAGGTAAAATTTATTATGTTATTATTATGTTCTGTGTTCTTTACGAGAAAATGAAAATATTTTGCGAGGTCTTGCAATGTAATATCTGTTTTATTGTTTCAGATTTTATTTGATCAGATAGCTTCAAATAAACTCGAGAAGCTTTTCAAGAAACTTTTAAGTCAAATGTCTGTTTATACAAGTTTTATAGTATCTGGCTTTTTTTTACATGTGTAATCATCAACTTTTAGAAGACTGACTTGGAGCTTACTCAATTACATTTGTATTTTATATAAAGCAACTTGCGTGTGTCTAACTTTTATAAACTGATTATTAGGGAACAAAGTAGAAATATTTAAAATACGTCTTAAAATGTTGTTACCGCTAATTTGTTTGTACGTGTATTCTTGGACATTCCAATTTGTAAGCAGCTCCAGTCTTGTGGCGCCTCCTCTTTCGGCTCTGATAGTTGCTTTTGAGAATATATATGATCTGTCATTACTCGCCAATACTCTGTCAGATGAGGGAATCGACACCTCGTTGATAATACCAAATTATGCTGCTCAGAACATTTATAATAATTTGATTGACGTTGAGGTGCTGCAATTGAATGTCAATACTGGCAGTTCGACTTATGCCGAGAAGCGCGCGCTACAAGCATGTGACAGTCTCTTGAAGGATGAGAAGATATTGAAGAAATTACAGGAGATTCAGCCCACAATCACCATATTTCCGGCATTGAGGTATATTAGCTTCAAAGTTCTCATTAAAAGATAATTTTCCGTGAAAAATCATATGAAATTATTTTAACTTTGTATATACTTTCTCTTTGTTTTTAGACACGACGGTTGTTTGCTGCCATTCGTGAGACACATCGATTCTATCCCGGTGATTTGGATACAAAATTCAGACGAAGAATTGTACGCGTTTGAAAGCACCGGGGTCGCTCTGTCGGTGAATAACGGCAGTTTTTTTTCGAGATTGGCGACGACGTTTGCGGCAAGATCTGTATATTCCAATGCTAAGAACAATTATTTATCTCCGGCTCTGCGATTGGTGTGCAAATACTTAACGTGCGATGCAAATGTCGAGTTTGACCGTCTTTATTCCGACGTCCGTCTAGTGCTCTGGGGAGCCGACACGGTGTTACGTTCGAATTTTGCGTCTCTGACAGAAATGCTTGTACAGGTTTGTATAAATGCACGTTTTAAAGTTCACTTGAATTAAAATGTTTCAGCTGGTTTCGGATAATTCGTCGATATACGTTAATCGTCGATTTGAAGTCAATTCAAAATCGTTTTTTTAGATTGGCTGTCACCACTGCAGAGGTCCGCAACCGTTACCCGCGGACTTGCAGAAACCGTTGATAGAACACAGAATGGGAACTGTTATTGCTCTCTTGGACGAGAGTTACGAGACGCTGATACGAGAATTGGCAAAGAAATTGCCTCAGGATAGGCAAGGCCTAGCCGTAGTTTGGAAAGTTAACAGGGATAACGCGCACATTCCCGCGAATCTTTACATTCGCAAAAACATCGATCGACAAGATCTCATAGGTATAAAATAAAAATTTTTCAACTTTTCAAGACTATTTTTCGAGAACGCAAAAGCACCACCATTTGACCGAATAACCGCTCGGGAGAAAATATTGCATTTTTCTTTTGTCTGCAGGTTACAGTCGAACACGAGTTGTGTTGAGTCACTGCGACGATACGGAACTTCTGGAGAACGCCTTTCACAGAACACCCGTGATATGTTTTCCGCGAAACGAGCACGAGTCTCGCAACGCCGCGCGAGCGGTCGAGCTGGGTTTCGCGCGTTCCTCGACCGATCAAGCCACAGCCGAAGAGATCGCGAGTTATGTGCAAACGATGCACGAGAACGTCGCGTACAGCGAGAGCGCGCGCAAAATCTCGCTCGCGATACGCGACAGACTGACCCCGGCGTCCGACAGACTTGTTTACTGGCTGCGCTACGTCGCGCGAACAAAAGACGATAGCGAGAAGTTTCATCAGCCGAAGAGCCAGTCGAGAACTCTCACGGAAGATCTTCAATTCTTTGTGGGTCTTTTAGTGGGTATATTTTTTGGACTCATGTGCGCGGGCTGCGCGGTGATTGCATATCTTATGCGAGCCACCAAGGCGCAGAGATCGAAAGGACGATACGCACGATGACTTAAGTCGATAACTGAGTTTGAGGTTCTAACAAACAAACGACACACTGGCATATGGACGTTTCTGTATATGTATATTTATATAAATGCACGTAGAATTATATAATAATAATAATAATAATAATAATATACAGGTACATACGAATATAAATGTTTTTACCAACTAAAATATCTCATAGTTATATCTTAGTTTTTTTTTTTTTTTTTTTTTTTTTTTAGTTTATAAAGCTATGAGACATTTTTACTAAATATTTCAGTATTTAATCTAATTATTACATCTGTGTTATTGTAATAATGCTTGCTCATAATACCTGACTGACGAATGAACTACGAATAATAACGTGATGTGTATGATGAAGAAAATAAATTACACG